CTACATCTTTTCCAACCCTCTCGACTAATTTCCGGTCATCCTAAGCTCCCAGATGGATTTGAGTGCCTCCCCCTCACCATGTCTGTTTTGCCACTGGAAGTGGTGTTTCTCAAACCCTGACCCCCCCCCCCCCCCCGAGAATTGTCCTCTCGCTCTCTGCATCACCTGACACCAAAGCAGCCCAGGTGACATGGTGGCTCCTGTGCTTCAAGAGCGCAGCCCCGCAGGCATATCTTTTCAGCATCTGCCCCCTCCTTGCCCTTCAGAGCTTGGACCGGCTGTGAGCTGCGTGTGGAACTGGGGTCAGAGCCAGCACCCCCACCTCCACCCTCTAAGGCACTGCGTGTCTCAGTGTCTCATCCCCTTCTGGCCCCAATCCTTCTGCAAATTAATTCCTGCAAGCTCCCCACTGAGAACCAATTTGAGCTGATAGCCCGCAGGACAGGCAGGAGAGACTGCTTCTTCACCAGATAATTCCATCCCGTTAGCCCATCTCTCCTGCTGCTGCGGTACTGATTTTGTCTGCAGAGTGTGTGGAAAACTTGGGAACAGATAGAAGTCATGGTTGCACACACGGTGAATGTAATTGATGTCACTGAGCTGAACATTCAAAACTGGTTGGGATGAGCAACAATTTTGAAAAATACTTCATAACTTGGGAAAAGACTGGAGAGCATTTTACTGAATGAGCTAACTCAGCCTCATAAGGACAAACACTGTGTAAGACCATTATTGTGAAAACAGAAGGATAACTAGTAAAGCATGTTGGGGACTCAAGGTGGGAAAGAGGGGAGCAAAGGAAATGGGAAGGATCCAGCAGAAAACGAAAAAGATTGGGTAATGATGTGAAAGATGCAATGGTGATTGATTTTATAAAACATACTACATGGAAATGTTTGTATGAAACACAACATGAATGAAGAATAGTGTGAAACAACAACAAGAAGAAGATCTGAAAAAAAAGTAAACATCCCATACTGCATGGGAATGATTGCATGAAACACAATGTGAATGAAGTGTGAAACACAATGTACATGAAATCTGTAAGCAAACCAATATGAAAGAATTTTTAAAAGATCATGGCATGAAAAAAACAACAACAAAACCTCAAACTGATTAGGATGAAAAGCTTTTATTACTTAAATATATATATTGTTGTTGTTGTTATGTGCCATCGAGTCACCTGCAACCCATAGCGATCCTATGTACAAAAGCCCTAAACCCTGCTCTATCCTGTGCCAATCTCATTGTCTCTGACATACATACTCCCACTACTCCAATCACTGAATTGATCCTTCTCATTGAGGATCTTTCTCTCCTGCGCTGTTCCTCCACTCTCCCAAACATGATATCCCTCTCCAAAGAAGGGTCCCTCCTTGCAACATGCCCAAAGTATGTCAGACGAAGTTTCAGAATCCTTGACTCCAAGGAGCAGCCCAGCTTCCTTCTCCAGAACAAACCTGTTTGTTCTATCCATTTGTAGTATATTCAACCTTCTTCTCCAGCACCACACAGCTCAGAGGCATCAATTCTCTTTCTATCATCCCTAGTCACTGTCCAGCTCTCCAATCCACAGCATGCAATTGTGAAGACTAGCCTGTAGGGCACACCTTAGTCTCCAGCCTGACATCATTGCTCTTCAGTACTCTAGAGAGGTCCCTGACAGCTGACTTTCCCAATGCAATTAGTCTCTTGATTTCCTAGCTGCTGGTACCAAGAGTGTTGACTGTGGAGCCAAGCAAACTAAAACTGTTAACTATCTCAATCTCTTCACCATCCATACTGATGCTGTCAATTGGCCCAGTGGTAAGAATCTGTTTTCTTAATGTTGAGCTTCAATCCATATTGAAGGCTTCAGTCCTTGACCTTCTGCAGCAAGTGCTTAAGGTCCTCAGTTTTAGCAAGCAGGGTTGTGACATCTGCATAACGCAGGTTGTTGATGATTCTTCCACCAATCCTGATGCCACATTCCTCCTCATATAGCCCAGCGTTACTGATGATCTGTTTTGCATACAGATTGAAAAAGTATGGACACATACATAAACACATAAACACACACACACATGCATATGATATGTATATGATATATATATATATATATATATATATGATAAAATATATAAGGTAGGTCTGTGATTTATCAAAATAAGAACACTGGTACCCAGGACCTCACAGCAGTGCACATAACAGAACCACATTTCTTTCTCACTCTTCCTAATTACTCCTTCCTGCTAAAATAGGGAGCCCTAGTGACCTAATTTGGGGAGTGGGGGAGTTGAGCTGCCATCCCCAGGCAGGCAGTTCAAATCCACCAGTGGCTCTCAGGCAGTAAAATGAACAGTGTCTTCCTATGCAGGTTACAATTTCTGAACATCTTCTGGAGGGTCAACTGTGAGTCAGTCCTGACTCTACAGGAAAGAGAGATCTGAGAGAGAGAGGTGGGCACAGCAGAGTCCTCATCCACAAAGATGTCATTGAACTTGTATCCTAAGTGACTGTAGTCTCCTCAGGGCCTGCCCAGCACCACCAAGAAGCAGCTCCACAAGGGGCAGCAGAGGCTTCTCTGTGACCCGACTGGGGAGTCCAAGGCCACTCTGCTGCTGTCCCCTCCCTCCAGCGTGCCCTGTATCAGAGATGCCAGGGCTCTAGGTGGCATGGGCAGTGGGGAACCCCCAGGGCTGCTGAGCAGGCACAGTAGAGATAGTCCCTGAGTGCTTTCCCCAGTGGGCTGTAGTTGGAGTGGTGGGAGGGCTGAGGTCAGAGCCAGCAGATAGAATTGTAATCACACATAATTCTACCACTTTAATGCAACTCCTAGGGAGCATTGGTGGCTTAAAGGGTAAGGAGTTACACTGCCAATCCCAAAGGCAGGTGGTTGGAGTCCACCAACTGCTACGGTGGAGAAAGATGGCCAATCTCCTCCCAGGTGGTGGACAGCCTCTGAAAGCTCACCAGGTGGTAAAGCTTGGAGTCCACTTGGACTCAACAGCAATGAGGATACAACTCATGCTTGGAAAAGCGGAGGGTCAGGGCAACAGAGGAAGACATTCAACAAGAGAGATCAACATGACTACAGCAATAGACTTGAGCGTGGAGATCGTGGGGATGGCAGGATGGGGCAAGGATCAGATCCATGGTTCACAGGGTCCTCAAGAGTCACAGGCAACTAGTTGGCACCTGATAACAATGGTAATACAACTTTGAATTCTTTTTCTCACTTATTTTCAAGAAATGTCTAATTATAATTTTTTTGAGATATATATATATTTAGTGTGTTAATCATATATATGCCATTTTTTTTAAGCATGTGTGTTTCCAAGCAAAAGGTTGGATTCCCAGAATTCTCCCCTGAGTGGGACAGAGGCTTACGGGAACTCAGGCTCAAGCTTTACAGGTGGGCCTCCTTTGGCTGCATAAACCTGGGCAGCTAAAGCAAGGGGAGTCCGTGCTCTATCAAGAGCTGAAAAGCCGGGAAATAACTTTATGGCCCAATCCAGGCAGGCAGGCGGAAGATTGCTTGGGGAGGCCTAGGGCTGAGGGCGGGACTGGGGTGTGTGCCCGCCCCCAACCTGCAGGAAAAGGGAAGAAGAAAAGGGAGAAGCTGTAGCTGTGACTCTGCTTCCTTCATCTCTCAGTCCTGGGACATTACTGCCGAGCAGAAAGCAGCCCTGTGAAGAACACACAGAGGAAAAGGAACTTGCCACCATCGTCCCCAGACACTGAGGTAATTTTCTTTTTCACTCTTTTACCCCTGGGGTGACTGACTCGGGATAAGGCAGAGTTCAGAGCTACTGTACATACGGGTCACTGTGAGCACAGATGACTTGATGACACGTAACAAAACAACAAACTCCTGGGATGAGAAGGGAATTGAGTGGAGAAATACACCTGGATGTGAGATACCCCTTCACCTGTGCTGCCCAGATTTCCTCCTCAAAGTAGAAATAGGTTTAAATATTAAAATGTAGGGCTCCTCAAACGCTTGTTTACTGTACCAGGGTAAGAAAATAGGAGAAACTCTGACTTCTGACTCAATAACAAATGTGTCCCTAGCCAACAGCAGTTTTGTGTAAGGACTTGCACTGCCAACCCAAAGGCACAGTTCGAATCCACGGTCTGCTCTGTGGGAGAAAGATGGGTAGTCTCTTCCCATGCGATTTACAGACTTTAAAAATCCGCTAGAGAGTCAACTCTGGGTTGTTGCCAATTTGACACAACAAAACAAGAGTAATTGTATACAGCCACTCTCTACAGGACAAGGTGCTGGTCTAGTGAAGGGCTCCACAGATGGAAAAGGAGCTGAACTGACAATCCTTTCACTTGTGCATTGAATCTAAGACACCTCCCGTTCTGGAGTCCAGGTTTACAGGAAGAACTTAGAGGCGAGACATCATAAACTAACAAGGATTAAAGATATCTTTCTGTCCTTTCTACTGGACCAGGTATGGCTAACTAAAACTTCCATTTCCTCCCCATGTTGTTGTTCAGTGTCGAGTCGTAGGTGACTAATAGCGACCCTATGAACGAAAGTCCTCAACACTTGCGTGACTTTCATCCTCTCTCCAGGTTCATAGGGTTTCTGGAGGCAAGCTATTTATGGAAGTGGATGCCACTCCTGCTTCCAAGCTTGTTTCAACCAGGGAGTGCCACCAAACACTGTCCACCATGGGGAACCGTTAATGCATTTGACACATCAGTGTCACAGTGTTCAGCTTCACAGCGACCACAAGTTACCTCTCCATAGTTTGTATGTTATAAGAGCTTCTACTCTCTTCTCTGAGGCCCCTAGAGCTAGGTCAGTTGACGGTGCATCTTCATCTTCTTACTAGCTTGTCCTCTTGAAGCCCAGATCTGAGCTAAAGCTGCCGTTGTAAAGGGCCATTCCTCTTAGGAAGTACAGGCTCTTCCAGGTTCCTGTGCGGATATGGGGTTTTGTGTTCCTTCAGAAATGGCTGATGTAAGCCCCTGGTCTTTCTCCCTAGGAGTTAGCAGCGGCCTCCATGGGCTCAGTGAACTCCAGAGGTGACAGAACAGAAGCTCAGGTGGTGATAATGGGCCTTGACTCAGCAGGCAAGACCACGCTCCTGTACAAACTGAAGGGCTTCAAGGTGGTGGAGACCCTGCCCACTGTTGGCTTCAACGTGGAACCTCTCGAAGCTCCTGGCCACCTGTCTCTGACGCTCTGGGATGTGGGAGGACAGACCAAACTGAGGGCCAGCTGGAAGGACTATTTGGAAGGCACGGATATGCTCGTGTATGTACTGGACAGCACAGACGAAGCCCGGCTGCCCGAAGCAGTGGCTGAGCTCAGAGAAGTCCTGGACAACCCCAACATGGTCAACATCCCTTTCCTGGTGCTGGCCAACAAGCAGGAGGCGCCTGATGCCCTCCCGCTGCCGGAGATCAGGGGCAGGCTGGGCCTGGAGATGTTCCAGGACCGCCCTTGGGAGCTCCGAGGCTGCAGCGCCCTCACGGGGGAGGGGCTGCAGGAAGCCCTCCAGAGCCTGCAGAACCTCCTGAAGGCCCACAGCCCCCCGAGTGCTGAGGATGGGAGAGCAGGAAGTCCTGACTGACCTCTCACAGCTTGGTTTGCTCCTAAGAATGGGGGAACCCACACATCCAGGAGACACTGAAACTTAGCTTATCAGTGAAGAACTCCTTCTGTTCTTGGGCGGGAGATTTCCCTCTCAGGATTTCTTCTCTCTGGCGTTTACATTGTGAGCTCTGGTGGCTCTAGTTTGTAGGGTTGCTCTACTGACCCAAAGACCCTCTCTGGTGATTTGACTTCAGCAGTGGTTCTCTGGAGAAAAATGGTGATTTCCTCCCATACCTCGGAATTAACAGCCTAGGAAACTCAATGGAGAATCAGCTTAGTTTCTACTTGACAGCAGAGAGAGAGGGGTATTTATGGAGGAAATCAACTACTCTTCAAAAACAAAAGGTTTTCAAAAACAAAAGGTGTGTATCATTTCATAACTCATTACCACGTGTGAACAGAGTGATTCTAATAATAGAGCAATTTACTGTCTGTCTCTTGTACTTTGGACATGTTCTCAGGAGGGACTAGATGCTGAAGGAGGAGAAGTCTTGGTAAAACAGAGTCAGGGAGAAAAAAGGGAAACGCTCCACACCATGAACTGACAGAGCAGCTACAACAATGGGCTCAGACAGCCATGGCTGTGAGGACCGTGGCTGTGACAGTTCAGGACTTGGAAATGGTCTGTTCTTTTGTTCACGGGGACCCAGTGCATTGGTTCTGACCCCATAGCAGCTCATACCGAATGATTCCAAAATAACTAAGACTTAAATGCTCAGGGGGGAAGAGGTCTCAAAATCAGATCGGAATGCCATCCAGATGTGGTCACAGTTCTGAGAGGTTTTTCCTGATACCCTCTGGGTGGGCGTCACCATCTCTGAGTCATGACCACATTCAGACGTGGGCAGGAGCAGCTGCTGCCCCAGAGCCTGAGGGCTAGGGGAGGACTGGGAGCTGAGCACTGGGCAAGGAGCAGGGAGCACTGGGAGCTGAGCGCTGGGCAAGAGGTGGGGAGTACTGGGAGCTGAGCGCTGGGCAAGGAGCTGGAAGCAAGGCTTCCAAACAGACCCTTTTCCTCAGGTCCCCTCCACCTGTCTCCTTTTTGCCATCTGGTTGGTCTTTTTTTATGTATTTGTTTTAAACTTCAATTTTTTCCCCCCTTTCTTCTTCTCTTTTCTCCTTCTTGTAGCATCTTCTCATAAAGAGCAGATATATCAGTTGTAAAGGCACTGAGCTTACACAGTCATGGAGATGGGAGGCATGTGTACCAGCAATGCCTTCTCCCTCAGATTTTTAAAAAGGAAAGCTGAGAATCATATTGCAGAAGGGTTTTTTGTAGGTGATTTTTACCTTGGGCCCATGAAATTATTTGCAAAATGCATACTCTGGGCCATTTTTCTAGGAAAAAGAGTCATAAGTTTTGTCAGATTTGCAAAGGCTGTTGTGACTCCCAAAAGTTACAGATCACTGATCTGATTCTATCCCTCACTCAGTCCAGGCATACTTCCCACCGTCTTCATTTGTTGGAGGGAGCTGACTTGATACCTCTTCAGATGTTGAACAGAAACAGCCAGCTTTAAATGTTGAGCTCTAAGTCTTGGATTAAAATCATACCCTTTTTAGTTCATGGTTGTGGTTCTTTCCTCTTCAGAGTAACACCTTTTCAATTGGACCATGATGCCCTTGGACCATCTAAGTTCTACCAGTCCCTCTTCCTATCTTCAGTTTAGACAGGCCCAGTTTTCCCACCACTTGTCACACAACATGTTTAAAGACTTTCTGTGCTAGTTTTGCTTGGTGCCACTAAGTTGATTCTGGCACACAGTGACCTTATATGTACGACAGAACGAAACACTGATTGGCCCTAGGTCATCCTCAGACTCACTGCCGGCCTTGACCCCATGGTTGCAGCCACAACAATGGATGCGTTGATCCATCTCATCGATGGCTTTCTTTTCCATTACTTTACCAAACATGATGTCCTTCTCCGAGGACTCCCCTTTCTGATAAGAGGCCCAAAGTATGTGAGACAAAGTCTCACCATCCTCCTTTCCAAGGAGAATTCGGGCTGTACTTCTTACAAAACAGATTTGCTCATTCTTCTGGTACTCAGTGGTCTTTGCTAGCATCATAATTCATATGTCAGACCCAAATCCACTGCCATGGATTGGTTACCTAGAAGCCCTCCGTTGGGTTTCTGAGGCTGGTAAATTTGAGCCACCAGTCTTTCAGAGAGCAGTGGAAGGTGTAATGTACAACACCAAAAGGGATTCTAGGAGAGCCAGCTATTGTTAGGTGCCACTGAATTGGTTTTGATTCATAGAGACCCCATAAACAGGTTGAACCTTGCCCTACCCCGAGCCGCCTCAACTATCTCTGATACACTCGATCGAGCCCATTGTTACAGTTACGGTGTCAAACTGTCTCACTGAGAGCTTTCAGGGGAGCAATGCAATCTCAGAACCTGCACAGAAAACCAGAGATCTTGCCTAGGCTTGCCCTTAATTATTTACCCAACCTAGTCAAATGTTATCTAGCTTAAGTTCAAGATTGAGTCTTGAAGGGAGCTCTGGTGGCCTACTGGCAAGAAACTGCACTGCAATCCCAGAGGTATGCGTTCAAATCCACCAGATGCTCTGCTGGAAAAGGAGGGACAATTTTCTCCTGTACCAGTCAGATCTGATTTGATGGTACATGTGCAAAAAATAATAAAGTGAAAAATAAAAAAGAAAAAAGAAGAAGATTGAGTCTTGGTGACTGTAACTCAGGGCCCCAGTTATTGTCATGTACCAACCAGTCGGATAAATAAATAAATAGACCAATAAATAGTTGACCCTCCAGCAGGTTTTCAGGGGCAGCAAATCACATAGGAGGAGATGGCCCATTTTTCTTCCATAGAGCAGCTGGTGGATTCAAACCACATGCCTTTAGGTTAGCAGCAAAGCTCCTTACCACTAGGCCACCAGGGTTTTATATCGGGATTGAGTAGTCATGAGTAATACCCAGGCCAACATGTAGCCAGGTGGTTGAAATCCCAGAATATATCCTGTGTTTTATTGTTTTTACTATTTTTTTTAATTGATAATTGAGTGGAAGTTTATGAAGTAAATTTACTTTCCATTCAGTCACACACATTTCATTTTATTATGTTAATTACAACCATATAGTTGTTTTTCCCCCTGTAATTCTCATTTGTACTATGCTTTCTCTGCTATACTTTCCCACCTTCTGGGCAAATGTAGTCAGATTTGACTTCTTTTGACCTTATGCAATTGCTTTTTTTAAGTAATGAAGGCCTTCCTGGTGGTGGTGCTCACCTCATACTTCTGTTCACTGTTGGCCTGAAAGCTGAGCCCCTGGGTGGGTTCTGTTCCGGATTTGAAGTATGACTAAGAGCCATAGTCTTTAGTGTTCCACTAGTGCCTGTCAGCTCGACAAGCCTGGGCTTTTTTGGTGTGTTGAGTTTTCATAGCCCCTCTCCCCCAACACACACACACTCCATCCAGGATCTTCTATTACGCCCTCATTTCAAGTGGTCTCTTTGGGCAGGTTATAATGGGGCATCTTCTAGTTCTTCTGGTCTCATGATCATAGAAGTTGAGGCATGTAGGCCATTAATTAATCCTTTGGACTAATTATTTCAAGATATCTTTGCTTTTCTTTGTTCTGGAGAGAGAGTGACCAGTAGTTGACCTTAGATGGCGGCCCCCAAGCTCTTAAGACTGCAGACGCTACTCAGCAAAGCAGGATGTAGATCATTGTCTTTGGGACTATATTATGCTAATTGACCTTAATGTCTCCCAAGCCTGTAAGCTTTTTAATCTGCAACTGTGTACGCATTCTAGAGATGGTCTTTTGCTGCTTCTGTAGTTCTGTCTGCAACAGTAATGGATTGTTAACTGCTACCAGTCATTATCTGGTGGTGATTTATCATCAAATTATATAAAAGAAAGCCAGGCCGTGCTTCATGGAACACCTTCAGCACCATACTCATGGTTTCTCTCATTCCAGATGACTTGTCTTTGTTCATTTATGTCTTAATGAATTAAAAATCAACTGTAATGAATACATTTTATAAGTATGTGTGCAGTAGGCTTGGAGTGCCTTTTTTACCTGGAACAGTTCAAAGAACAGGCCTCATGGAGCTTTGGAAAGGGGTGGCATCTGTTTATGGAAAACTTCATCGGATTCTCACAGTTCTACAAAGCAAATACCATTCTCATTTTATTTCATTATAAGCTATTAGTCAGCTATGGAGCAAAGTACGTGGAATTTGAAACCCGTTATGTCTGGCTCCAACACCTGCATTCATACACCACAGCATGTATTTATGGGGAAGTGTGAGAGGGCTGAAAGCTGTCAGAGAAGGAAAACAAATACAGAAAAGTAGTAAAATTATATCGGTCGAAGGTAGAAAGCTTGTGAGACCTAGAAAAACAAGGCAGGTCTATTCAGTTCCAGCTCACAGACTTAAGCTAGAGCAGATATTTAATCAGAGTCCCTGGGTTGTGGGAATGATTAAGAGTTGGACTACTGGCGAGCTCTGGTGGCCTAGTGGCAGGAAACTGCACTGCAATCCCAGAGGTGCGCGGTTCAAATCCACCAGATGCTCTGCTGAAAAAGGAGGAACAATCGCCTCCTGTACCAGTCAGATCCAATTTGATGGTACACACATAAAATAAATAAATAAAAATTATAAAAAAAAGAGTTGGACTAGTAACCAAAAGGCTGGTGGTTTGAATCCACCCAGAGGTGCCCTGAAAGAAAGGCCTGAGGCTCTATTCCTATAAGGTCACAGCCATGAAAATCCTATGGATCACAATACCATTCTGAAACATATGGGGGTCACCATGAGACGGAATGAACTCGACGGCAACTGGCAGACATCCTGTCAACAGGTATGATGAAATATCACAGTCAAAATAAAGAGGCAGCTTGTAAACCTGAAGGGGAGTATGTTGTTGTTGTTAATTGTCATCCAATCGCTTGCAACTCATAGCAATTCTATCTATGTGCAAGAGTCCTAAACACTGCTCT